GGAGCCCAGCCCAGCCTTCTCTCGACTCTTCTCCATCACCTGCATAAGGCGTTTGGAGCTTTGGCCGTAGCGCATAAGATCTGCAGCCCCAAACAGAGTCAAACTGAGTCAAACTTGACCCACCCAACCGGAAGCTCTTGGAGAAGCCCTCACAACATCTCTCTGGAAAGCACAAAACCCAAACCCTCGGGTTTAAGTAACTGGTCATTTGCTCTGGGCAGAGCAAGTTGAAGCAAAGCAGGCAAAGTGCCACGCGAAAACCGGAGAAGCCGATTGCATGGGGGAGGGCAGAGCTGCCACCAAAGCTACTGCCCTAAACGCTAAACCCTGAACCCTGAACCCTGAACCCTGAACCCTGAACCCTAAACCCTAAACCCTAAACCCTAAACCCCTAAACCCCTAAACCCTAAACCCCTAAACCTTAAACCCCTAAACCCTTGCTTGCCACATTGAGGGTCGCATCAGCACGGTGGCCCCGTTCTGTGAAAGATGCTCATAGCTCATGGCCGCAGTAAACTCCAACTTGTTGGGGTTTACTAAACGGGTAATACTGAAGCACCTTGTCGCCTTCTGTCGCGCCCGGAAGGCCGTTGCCTAGTGAGACCCATGACGGGGTTTCGGGCTTCTGCTTGAGAATTCTGGGCTTAGGTCGGGGGGGGGGAAGGAGTTTGAAGCTTAGAGCTTCGGAATATTCGAACCTAAACCCTACTTTGGAGTAGACCCTGGAAAGGAAGTATATACTTTCTAGGTATAGGTAGCTATAGTGGGAACCCAGAACCAAAACAAGTATTAAAAGTGTAGTGCTCCAAAGCCCAGTGAACTGTTCAGGGCTTAGGGTCTAGACCCGGGAGTAACCTAGGAATAGAAAGGGTACCCATTTTTTGGGTTTGAAGGGGATTATAAGGGAACCCCAACCCTAAAAAAACACAAAAAGGGCCTACTCCCGGTCCTAGGGGTTCTCGGGCCTTCTTGTCCGTCTCGGCCATGACTTTTCTCAGCCGCTGCAGCCGATCGTCCGCCTTGTCCGCGATTTTGTCCTCCACGTCCAGCCTTTGGGAGATGAAGGGCTTAGAAGGTGTCGGGTTTAGGGTTTAGGGTTTAGGGGGTTTAGGGTTTAGGGTTTCGGGAGTTTAGGGCTTCGGATGGAGGAAGGGGGGTTTAGGGCTCAAACAAGTTTAGGGCTTCGGGTTTTGGAGGGGTTTAGGGTTGAGGGTTGGGGCTTAGGAGGTTTAAGATTTAGGGTTTGTTGGGTTTCGGGTTTAGGGAATGTAGGGCTTCGGGTTTAGGGTACCTGCGGCGTGGAGGGGAGTCCGGTTGGATCCGAATTTCTGGGTTTAGGGATTAGGGAGTGTTTGTGGGTTTGCGGTAGGGTTCCCATGAACAGGGAGCAACCTACTGACTTCGTAGACAGATTAGAATTCAGATGACCCAACCGAGGGCACTTGTAACCCTAGGAAAACCTACTGCGTTCCCCAAAACAAACTAAAGCAAACCACCAGACAAGAATTCCTAAAAGCCCTTAAGCATAGGGTTTAGGATGCAGGGCTTAAAACTTTGTAGGGTCTGCGGTTCTCTTGCTGTACCTTAGGGGGAGTATCTTGACGTATTTGGGGCATCGTATACCCTAAACCCTAAACCCTAAACCCTAAACCCTAAACCCTAAACCCTAAACCCTAAACCCTAAACCCGAAGCAACCTCCCACCTTCCTACCCCCCTCTTGACGTCAACCCTACAGCAAGACAACTGAGAAGAGGGGTGTAGATTGGGATGTTCCCCCTTACACTAAAGGAATCCCTATTAAGGACTGTTAGTAAGGCGGAACATACCAAGATGTAGACCCTAAAGCTTCAGCCAGAAAACTCTAAACCACTGACAGAAATTAAACCCCGGAACCTTCAACAGACCTCTCAGATTTTGGAGGGGTAGGACTTTGACCCCGAACCCTTCGACCCAAAACCTGTAAGGCTAGAGGAGTCAGGGTTTACACCCCCAAACCCTACTAAATCTCAGCTCCCGCGGCTCAATGTCGAAGTCAACAGACGCAGCGACCACGGCGCCGGAGCGGTCGCGCTCCGGAGACGACCTCTTCTGTCTTCGGGGCTTTGAGGGCTTTCTCGGCTTCGTGTAGGGGGCGTAGGGTAGTCGAAGGCGAACAAGAAAGTTTAGGGCTTAGGGCTTAGAACAGACTAAGGTTGAGGCTTACAAGGGTTTACCATCGGCCTAGGAGACCCCTTGAAAGAATCTCTGAGAGGGGATCTGCAGGGAACCCCCTTAAGGAACGAGCTTGGATGCCTCCCAAACGAACCCTATACTTTGGCCCTAAACCTTCATCCGTGAAACCCTACATCCCAAAAGCCTCTGAACCAAAACCCTAAACCCTAATTAAACCCTCAACCCTAAACCCTAAACTCTGCAAAGCCTTGCACCCCAAGACCCTTTTCGGCTGGAATCCCTTGACTTTGAGCTCCCCGCGTGAGGGAGAACTGGATGCGGCCCTGGAGGAAGGCCTGGAGTTTGGCGTCCGCCTGCCGGCCAGAGGACACGTTTGGGGTTTAGGGTTTAGGGTTTAGGGTTTAGGGTTTGGGGTTTGGTGTTTAGGGTGGGGATTCAGGGGTTTGGGGGGGTGGGTTTGGGGTTGGGGGCGTCGCAGTTAGGGCTTAGGGGAAGACTGGAGCGTAAATCATTCCAATATCATATCTATACCCCTATGTATTTGAAATAGAATTAGAAACTACCCCCAAATCTACCTAACCATCCCCGCATTACATGACATTCGTGAGGTCTACATCGGCGAGCGGAGGGGCTGAAAGGCCCTGAACACGCCCTTTCTTGTGGGGAACCGCGCCTCCCCAGCACGCAGGGTGCCCGTGAATTCCGCCTCGGTAGCTTGCAGAGCAGGGCGATGGAGTTCTTTGAGAACTGCAGTTGGGAAGCTCACTCGGTGGATCTATCACCCTCCAAGCCCCTAGACCCTCAATCCGGGCCCGGAGCCTCAAGAACCAGTAATTCGGGGCGTCGAGCCCCCAAACCCGAAGCCCCCGAAGCTCCAAATCCTTAAACCCTCAAGCTCTACGCCCTACACCCCAAACCATTGGCCCCAAGGCCCTAAACCCCAAACACCAAACGCCAAACCCCAAACCCTAAACCCAAACCCCAAACCCTAAACCTAAATCCTAGTCCCTGAAGCTCAAAGCTTCAAGCCTACACCCTCCCAGATTGCAAATTCACAGAAACAAGCCCTTGAGGCCCTGCCACCCCAAAATCTCAAAACCCAGAGTCTCCCCCCTCAAAGGCGGGTTTAGGGCTTAATCAGGGTTTAGGGTTTAGGGTTTCGGGTTTAGGGTTTAGGGCTCTGGGTTTGGGATCCCAGAACTTCCCAGAACTACTTCGAAGCAGCCCCAAGGTGCTCGGCACAGACCGTCGACGACGCGCGCGGCGCGGTGAACAAGAAGCGCATCCTCCAAGGGTTTAGGGTTTAGGGTTTAGGGTTTAGGGTTCAGCATCTCTGGTCCAAGCATTCACTAGTTGAGCAGCTTTCAAGGCCACAGGGGAATACCCACCCGCCCATTGGGTCCCACACCATTAGGAAAAATATCAACCTCCTTCTTCTCTAGGCACGTGGTCAACAGAATGGATTTGTTAACCACATGTTTCTGTTTCAAGCGGACAAGAAAACCAAACGTGGTCAACAGAATGGATTTGTCAACCACATGTTTCTGTTTCAAGCGGACAAGAAAACCAACGTGGTCAACAGAATGGATTTGTTAACCACATGTTTCCATTCGGGAACTTATTCTTTGGAAGCCATCTTGAGTTCTTGAGTCGTTTGAGGGGCTTCAGGGGCCTCAAAAACAGGCGCGGTCATTCGGGGACTTATTCTTTGGAAGCCATCTTGAATCGCTTGACTCTTTTGAGGGGCTCCAGGGGGAGGGGGCGAGGGGGGGGGGGGGGGGGGGGGGTGGGGGGGTGTGGGTGGGTGGGGGGGGTGGGGGTGTGGGTGGGGGGGGGGCGGGGTGGGGGGGGGGGGGAAGGGGGGGGGGGGGGGGGGGGGTGGGGGGGTGTGGGTGGGGGGGGGGGGGGGGGGGGGGGGGGGGGGGGGGGGGGGGGGGGGGGGGGGTGGGGGGGGGGGGGGGGGGGGGTGGGGGGGGGTGGGGGGGGGGGCGGGTGGGGGGGGGGGGGGGGGGGTGGGGGGGGGGGGGGACTTGCCCACTAAATATATGACCTTGCCCGCTAAATATATGACCTTGCCCGCTAAATTTATGACCTTGCCCGCTAAATATATGACCTTGCCCGCTAAATATAGGACCTTGCCCGCTAAATATAGGACCTTGCCCGCTAAATATATGACCTTGCCCGCTAAATATATGACCTTGCCCGCTAAATATATGACCTTGCCCGCTAAATATATGACCTGGCCCGGGCCATATATTTAGCGGGCAAGGTCATATATTTAGCGGGCAAGGTCATATATTTAGCGGGCAAGGTCATATATTTAGCGGGCAAGGTCATATATTTAGTGGGCAAGGTCGCCCTTTAGCGGGCAAGGTCATATATTTAGTGGGCAAGGTCATTTTTTAGCCAATGGACCTTGCCCACTAAATATATGACCTTGCCCGCTAAATATATGACCTTGCCCGCTAAATATATGACCTTGCCCGCTAAATATAGGACCTTGCCCGCTAAATATAGGACCTTGCCCGCAAAGTCATTAACATTTATATTATATATGAAAGAGTGGTGAAAGAGTGGTTTAGGGTTTAGGGTTTAGGGTTTAGGGTTTAGGGTTTAGGGTTTAGGGTTTAGGGTTTAGGGTTTAGGGTTTAGGGTTTAGGGTTTAGGGTTTAGGGTTTAGGGTTTAGGGCTTGCTGTGATAGGGCGTAGATGCTGTGAAGGGTAGGTTACAAGCTCGAAAGCTTCGTGAGGCGTGAAGAGCAGCTTTGGCCCGATTGTGGAAGGCCTGTCTACAGCCCTGGGAGGGTACGACGTTGGTCGCCTTGCTCCGTATAACCAAACGCTCGAAAAGCCTCGTTCCCCCTTATAAGAACAGTCCTTAAAAAGGGAATCGAGTACCCCTTAGTATAATCCCTATTAAGGACTGTTAGTATAAGGGGGAACATCACCCTGCACCCTAAACCCTAAACCCTAAACCCTACTAAACCCCAAAACCCTAAACCCTAAACCCTAAACCCCTAAACCCGAAACCCCCAAAGCCTGCAAGGAGCTCGACTCCGAAGCCCAGCAGGAAACACCGCTTCTTGTCCTTGTTACGGTCGCGGCCCTCAGCGCCCTCCAGTCTCCTTCCGGAACCTTAACAACAGTTCTCCGGATTAAGGGTTTAGAGTTTAGGGCAGTTTAGGGTTTAGGGTTTAGGGTTTAGGGCTTAGGGCAAAAGTTCTCAGCGTTTCAGAGCACGGCTGCGTGGTTCTCCTACTCTGGTCAGCTCTTGCTTCATGGATGGTCGAGGGTATACGCCCTAAACCCTAAACCCTAAACTCTAAACCCTAAACCCTGCACCCTAAACCCTAAACCCGAAAGTTTCGGGCGGGGAGGCTGTGGGGGGGGGGGGGGTTGCAGGTTTGGGGCTTTTAGGTGGAAGGGTGTAGAGCCTTTATTGCAGGGTCTCAGGCTTTGGACTTTGAAGGTTGAGGGCTTAGTAGGTTAAGGATGCCACTCTCAACTTCTCGACTGGCGGCGGTAGGCCACGTAGTCTCGGACGCCGTCCTCCTCCAAGCATGAGGCAACGTGTCCACACATCCACAAGGTTCATGCAACTCCCTGGGGGAAGGGGAAGTGGCTTCCGGAAGAAGTACAATGCGCATGCGTTTTCTTGGTGTGCTGGGATTTAGGGGTTTGGGTGCAGGCGCTTCTCTCCAACATGTTCCACTTTCACAGCCCGCAGCGTTGCAAACTCCACGCGTGGCAATACGCAAGCCCAAACCCTAAACCCGAAACCAAAACCCAAAACCCTCATGTAAGTCTCAGGGTAGGTTAGGAAGTCTTACCGCAGCCAGTCATGCTTCGAAGCAAGCTCGTGGTGGCAAAGTCTGCCAAAATGCTTAAGCCCTACACCCTTCAACCCTCAAACCCTCAACCCTCAAAGCCTCACACCCCCAAAGCAGCAAGACAAGAACCAAGACAAGTTGCCTGAAAGAACTGGGAGATGAACTTTATCTCTGCACCTCGACTTAGGGTTCAGCGCTTTGGTGTATGCATGCATACATACATACGTATGTACATACGTGCATACATACATACATGCATGCATACATACATAATATAGGGTGTAGGGTTTATGTAGGGGTTTAAGGATTTTGGGGTGTGGGATGTATCTAGGTGGGGAGGCGGGGGGGGAGCGGCCGGGGAGGAGGTTGCTGCCGGTCTCGCATGTTTTCCTCATCGGGGCTTAAGGTTTCGGGCGCTTGCCGAGCAATTCCTCCAGGAGGGGGCACGTGTTTGGATCCACAAGCCGGCAGCCGCAGAAACCCACGAAAAGCCCGAAACCCTGAATCCGGTTCTCCCTAGACCTATGAGCTAATCGGAAGAATTACTACTAGTACTCATTAGTACTCCCTTGTGGCCCCTTTAGAATTACACTAACAATAACCCCCCAGCCCTATTCTAAAACCCTAAACCCTAAACCCTAAACCCTAAACCCTAAACCCTAAACCCTAAACCCTAAACCCTAAACCCTAAAGCTAGGCCCCTCTATGAAGCAAGCGCCGCAGCCGGGCGGCGCACGAAGTCTAGGAGCCGGTCCTGGCAAAGGCTGGCTGGTTCTTATAGGGTTCAAAAGGGTTTAGGGTTTAGGGTTTAGGGTTTAGGGTTTAGGGTTCAGGGTTTAGGGTTTAGGGTTTAGGGTTTAGGGTTTAGGGTTTAGGGTTTAGGGCATCCCTTAACAAGTATATATAGGGCCCATGCTCCCTCATTCGGCTGCTAAGAACCAAGTGGAAGGCTGGGAGGGGCTCCGAGGTGCCTTCTTTCGGGAAAGGCCTAAGCGTCCAGGGCTCAGGGCTCCACCCCACACCTGAAAGCCTTAGATTCGGGCTTTGTGGCTAAAGAGGTATTGGGGTTGAAAGGCCCTCTGGTGAAGGGCTGGCGGGCCCTTTAGGGTTTAGGGTTTAGGGTTTTGGGGTTTAGGGTTTAGGGTTTAGGGTTTAGGGTTTAGGGTTTAGGGTTTAGGGTTTAGGGTTCAGGGTTTAGGGTTTAGGGTTTAGGGTTTAGGGTTTGGGCTTCTGCGTTGTGGGGACTCCAGGCCCAGCCGACGGTACCGGGGTTTGGGGGTTTGCGGGTTCGGGCTTCGGGGTTGTGGGCCTCGAGTTCCAGCGTGGCCCAACCCGGCGCCACGTGCTGCTCGAGGCGTATCTTCACCACCTCACGAGCCCGGGCTCTGCTGGGAGTTTTTGTTTGTTGTTGCTGTTGTTTTTTTCTTTTTTTGGGGGGGGGGGGGGGGGGGGGGGGGGGGGGGGTCGGGGTTGAGGGCTTGGGCCTTACCCTAAACCCTACAAGCCCTAAACCCGAAGGCTGGAGGGCTGCAGGGAGAGGGCTGTGGCTCGGGTGTTTGGGGTTGCCTTGGTTCCTCCCCAAAACCAAACCCTGTAAGCCCTAAAGACACCAAAAGAAAACGCCAACCCTAGTTGCAAACATGAACAAAAACTCTCAGCTCCTAAAACCCTGTTAGCCCAATAGCCAAAAAAAACCGAGAAACCCGGCTTCAATGCCCTACCTTGAACCTGACACTGAAATCGAAACCCTCAACCCTCAACTAGGCCCTCAACCCTAAACTTCTAAACCTACAAACTCCCTCATCCCACACCTCGCCGTCGTCCGACGCGCCCTCCTGCCGGCAAAACGCGAGCTGCAGCAAGCGTCCCAGCAAGCGCAACAAACAAATGCCATCGAACTGCGAGCCCTACAGACACCCTAGCATTCCTAAAACCCTTGACCATAGGCCCACAGGATCTCAAAGTCACTGGATCAGAGGGCTCCTAAACCCTAAACCCTAAACTCTGCACCCTGAACCCTAAACAACCCTTCTCCACTCCTGGTCCACCTCGCAGAAGACACTGCCCTTGCTGGGCACACCCAGCACAGACTCGCCACAGCACTTGCAAATCCTGGGCATCGTTGGGTTTAGGGTGTAGGGTGTAGGGTGAAGGGTGTAGGGTTTAGGGTTTAGGGTTTAGGGTTTAGGGTTTAGGGTTTAGGGTTTAGGGTTTAAGGTTCAGGGTTTAGGGCCTTCGGGTCTAGAGGGCCACTGGGTGCCATCAGCCGGCTGCTCGGCACTCGTCGTCCCCCGGCCGGTGACCCAGTGATGCCCACAACCTCGACCCGTACCTGCGGTTTAGGGTTTAGGGTTTAGGGTTTTCGGGTTTAGGGTTTAGGGTATAGGGTTTAGGGTTTAGGGTTTCGGGTTTAGGGCTAAGGGTTTAGGGTGAAGGGTTTAGGGTTCACCGTTCAAGGGTTCAGAACTTGGGGGTTTAGGGCTGGGCTTAAGGATGTCGGGCTTTGGGGGTTTCAGGGTTTGCGGTGGTTTTGGGCTTCCATGTTTTTTTGTGGTTTCCTTGAGCAGCATTTGAGATTTGTCATGCAGCAACATGCCCCCCACCCCCCAACCCCCCCTCCCCCCCATCCACATGTGTCCACGGCCACAAAGCGACCGAACAACATCGAATTACCAGATCAAGCGTGCAGGCCAAACGTCACTGACATCCTAGAGCAGCGCGGTGCCCTGTAGGGTTTAGGGTTTAGGGTTCAGGGCTCAGGGTTTAGGGTTTCACCCTCTGCGCCATCTACGCATGCAGCGACGGATACACGCGGATGCCGTGGCTCTTGACATGACCTCCGACCTTGCAGGCCCTGTGCGAGAACCTGCGTCAACCCCCAAACTCCCTTATCTACCCGAACACCCAAGACTCCCGACTAGATTGAACACCATGTGAGAGTTTACCATAATAAGGGACCCCTAATATGAACCCCCCTAAATAGCAGGATCCCCCTTGTAGTAAGGACCTCAAAAAGGTACCCCGAAGATCGGAACCCCCCATATCCTGCACAGGCAAGCGGCAATGAAAGGCCAGAATCTCCGAGACAGGCTCCTGCAGGCGTCGAAGTGTGGCGTCTCTTGGTTTAGGGTTCAGGGTTTGAGCTCGTACTTTTGGGGTTCCAGGGGGGTACAAGAGGTGGTTTGAGGCTACAGGGGATCAGGTTCAGGGTCTCGGGGGTCTACCTCCACCATCCGCTGCTTCTCAGGTGTGCAGGCGCCCTTGAGCCTCACGTCTGGGAACTGAAGCCTCGGCAGCGAGTGCACGGTGCCTACTCTGGACGGTCAAGGGCGTCATGCCCGGCATGCCTTGTGCACGCATGTATGAGCTCCTGCACGAAGTGATGACAATTCCGATTGTTGGCCGCGTTGGCGTCGTATTTGGCACCATCCCACCTCAAAAGGAAGTCATACAACTCCTGACCGGTACAGGTACCCTCATAGACCTTCTCCAGTCGATCCCCCATAATCCTGCTCTCCGGCAAGTGCTCCTTCTTCTCAATCACCAAGTTGGTGGCAGAACGCTTGCCAGCGCCCCAGTTCAGGCGATACCTCTCCTCGCCCTCCGCCAAGACCACATCCACCATTGCATAGGAATGGCCAAGCTCCCAACTTGCCGGTCCCTCCAGCTCTCGACTCCTTCTCCATGCCAAGCGCCTCGGCAGCCAGCGAGGGCTCACGAAGCGAAAGAGCCCGAGCTCATTCAGGGGCTCGGAGCACCAGTAGACGCGCTTCACGAAGGCCACGCGCTGCATCGCCTCCGAGCCCACCGAGGGCGCGGCCGAGCCGCTGAGGTAGCTCAGCTCATGGCTCGACTCTTTGGAGCTCAACCAGCTCAGCCTGCTCAGATTGGAGATCCAACTGTGCGGCATCAGGAAGATCTCGTCTAGGCGGCCATGCGGTTTCAGGCTGCTGGAACTCTCCACACTCCCGACGCTCTGAGACACGCTGCCGCCCATGTCGCCGGCAAAGCGATCTTTCAAGGGATTTAAGACTCGTACCCCCCCTAAGGTTGTGCCGCTGAAGGCTTCCTTTCATATGCTCCTATCATGGCCCTTATATTCCCTCAGAGGATTAAGGGCCCCCAATGGCTATCTCTGACCGGCCTGCACAGCTGGAGCTATGTGGTGGCCATAGCTGAATAAACAGGAAGTCTACAAGGAGGTCAACTCGCATGTGCTCTCAAGTCTCAATCAGCACTGCACAAGCTGCAGAACAAGGGACAAGAACAACCACCGAGACGAGTGCCTCAAATCCCCCTTGCCCTAATCTAAGTAGTCGTGTATCCTTACTAAGGGGTGATGTAGGGGAACCGAAAGCCCCTACGAAGAGAACCAGTAAGTTAAGGCTTTCGCGGGATTTGCAAGGCACAGGACCCTGAAACCCTGAAAATGAAACCCTGAAACCCTGAAACCCTAAACCCTAAACCCTGAAGCCGACTGTGAAACCTCGGGGTCCTCGAATCCGTACGCCCTTCTTGGTTTGGGGGATACCAGGACGGGCTATTAGACCCTAGAACCCCTTAAAAAGGCCCTTTATTGGGTTGATTATAGGGATTATAGAGCCTAATAGCCCATCCTGGTAATAGAGTTTCGGGCTTAGGGGTTTAGGGTTTGGGTTGGGATGCTCCCCCTTATACTAACAGTCCTTAATAGCGATCATCATAGCGGGTACTAGAACCCCTTTTAAGGACAGTATAAGGGGGGAACATCCCAAGGTTTAGGGTTTAAGGGCCCTTCAAAGGTTAAACCCCAAGTTGACGCCTTCAGAAATCAAGAACCCCTCAAATTCAATGTTTTAAAGCCCTTGGAACTCACAACCCTTGAGTCCTTCTTCGACCCTTAATGCTGTAAAGCCCTTAAAGCCCTCAAAGCCCTTCAAAACTTGGGATGTTCCCCTTATATTAACAGCCCTTATTTGGGATTCTAGTAATTACCTTTTATGATCCCGATTCAGGACTGTTAGTAAAGGGGAAACGTCCCAGTTGAACACCCTTTTAAAAGCCCTTACATCCCCTTACGCCTCCACCTAAAAAAGCCCCGAGCCTGCCTCCACTTTTGGGCGCTTGGGCACTGCGCTGGCGATTCCGGCCACGCGTTTCGGGGTCTCCCCGCTCGGGGGCCCTGCGGCGTTCGCGGCAACAGAGAGAGTGCAGGGTATAGTTAGGGCTTAGGGCTTAATTAGGGAGTAGGGTTGGCGAAAAGGGCTTATAGCGTCTGAGATGCTGCAGGTTGCTGTGATTGCGAACGGCTGTCCGCGGCCGCAAGTGGAGTAATTAATTACTGGCAAAAGAAACCCGAAAAGTCGAAAAGTCGAAAAGTCGAAAAGTGGATTTGGACAAGAGCTTCACGCGAAAAGTCCGAAAAGTCGAAAAGTCGAGAAGTCCCGAAAAGTCCCGAAAAGTCGAAAAGTCAAAAAGCCGAAAAGTGGAAAAGAAAAAATGGAAACGCGTAAAAGTCGGTGAAGCCCAGATAAGTCGAGAACTTGCGAAAAGCGTCTGAAAGTCGAAACGTGAACGAGGGGGGGGGGGAGGGGGTGGACTGGATGCCTAAAGCGAGCAGCATGCAGCGGCTTGTGGTTGAGGATATAAGAAGAAGCCCTGTCTGGGTTATAGAGTTGAGGACTGGGGCTTGAAAGTGTCAGGTCGTAAGGTTGAAAGCCTAAAGGGTCACGCGTGACGTTTTGGTTAGTGGTTCGTTGAAGAGACTGTTGGATGCTCTGGAGCATCGCGAAGTTCCTTGGCTGGAACAACTTCCTTTTTTTTAGTTTTCTTGTGTGTGAGGTCTTGGTTCGTGGTGCGTAAGAGTACAGTTTTGGGTCTAATCCGTGTCACCTTGGCCCCAAAACGGTATTCCTACGCACCACGAACCAAAACCTCACACACCAGAAAACTAAAAAAAAGGAAGTTGTTCCAGCCAAGGAGCTTCGCGATGCTCCAGAGCATCCAACAGTCTCTTCAACGAACCACTAACCAAAACGTCACGCGTGACCCTTTAGGCTTTCAACCTTACGACCTGACACTTTCAAGCCCCAGTCCTCAACTCTATAACCCAGACAGGGCTTCTTCTTATATCCTCAACCACAAGCCGCTGCATGCTGCTCGCTTTAGGCATCCAGTCCACCCCCTCCCCCCCCCCTCGTTCACGTTTCGACTTTCAGACGCTTTTCGCAAGTTCTCGACTTATCTGGGCTTCACCGACTTTTACGCGTTTCCATTTTTTCTTTTCCACTTTTCGGCTTTTTGACTTTTCGACTTTTCGTTTTTTTGTTGGGGGGGGGGGGGGGGGGGGGGGGAGTCCGAAAAGTCGAAAACCCGAAAAGTCCCGAAAAGTCCCGAAAAGTCGAAAAGTCGAAAAGTCAAAAAGTCGAAAACTTTTCGACTTTTCGACTTTCTGACTTTTCGATTTTGTTTTCTGAATCTCCGCTTAATTGAAAGAACGGGGGCTTGCGTGCTTAGTTCGTGGGGGGGGGGGGGGTTTAGGGCTTTAGGAGGGTGTGCCGGGCTCGAGTGTAAGCGTTTCGGGCTTGAGGTCGTGGTTAAGCAAGGGTTTGCCAGGAAAGAAGGCCCCCACACGGGCCCATAGAAAAAGACACGTCTAACTCCAAGTTGCCCCGCATGTACCTGCGGCAAAGCTGGATGGCATATCCCGATACCACAGCCTAAAGTATGTAAAACCATGGGCCTTCAATGGTTTTTGGGCCATTGTTTTACATACTTTGTACTTTTTTATACTATAAAATTCCATGTATATATATATATATATATACATATGTACAGAAACTATTGCAAATTTGGGGGGTTTAGGATGTTGAGCTGCGTCGCAAAGCCGAGGACCGCCAAGGATGCACGGCTGCGATGCAACTTACACCGAAAGATGCGACTCAAACTTCCCCCTTCCCCTCCCCAGAAGAACCTACTAACTCAGTTTTCACTAAGCCCTAAGCCCTAAGCCCTAAGCCCTAAGAGATAAACCCTAAACCCTAAACCCTAAACCCTAAACCCTAAACCCTAAACCCTACCCAGGAAGCTCCCACCTCGCAAGGCCGCCAGCCGCTGCTTCACGCGCTCCGCGGCGCTGGGGGCGCTGCTCGGGGTGTCCTCGGGCGCGGGCCTGGGCGTTAAGGGGGTTTAGGGTTTAGGGTTTAGGGTTTAGGGTTTGGGGTTTAGGGTTTAGGGTTTAGGGTTTAGGGTTTAGGGTTTAGGGTTTAGGGTTTAGGGTTTAGGGTTTAGGGTTTAGGGTTTAGGGTTTAGGTTAGGGTTTAGGGTTTAGGGTTTAGGGTTTAGGGTTTAGGGTTTAGGGTTTAGGGTTTAGGGTTTAGGGTTTAGGGTTTAGGGTTTAGGGTTTGAAGGTGCAGGGTTTCAAGGTTCAGGGTTTCAAGGTTTAGGGGTTTAGGGGTTTAGGGGTTCAGGGGTTCAGGGTTTTAGGGGTTTAGGGGTTTAGGGTTTGAGGGTTTAGGGGCTTATGTAGGGGTTTATGTAGAGGTTTAGGGTGCTTGCTATCCTGAAACCTGCACTGGAACAGTAGGGTTTAGGGCTTGCTTGAAGCTTTGCAGGTAGGTTTAATGGCAGGGCCAATACGCAGCTCAGATGAACGCAGGTTACGCGGCTTTAACCTTCTTGTGCCTAACTTTCAAGGAGGATGTAGGTTTCTTTTGCGTTTGAGGCCTATAAGGTTGTATCGCGTGAGGCTCAGGGTTTCGGGTTTAGGGTTTTTAGGGATTAGCGGTGATTTGGAGGGGGTCCAGGGTTTCAGTGCTTCGGGCATGAAGGGGCGAATCAGACATAACCCCCAACCTACACCCACTCTTCAACCTACAACGCCCTCAAACCTTCATTGACAAACCCTTTCAAAACCCTGAAAACCCTTCAAGCCCTTCAACTTCAAAGCCTCCAAGAACCCTAAAATCTCGCCGCGGGTCGGTACCGCCAGGCGCCCGAGAACTGGCTTCCTGCCAGGGGGTGAGGGTGTTTGGTTTCGGGCTTTAGGCTAGGGTTGGGCTCACGGGCTTCGAGGCATTGAGGTGTAAGGTGTAGAAACTTGCGGGGGTGGGGTGCTACGCTTGACAGAAGCCCAAAGTTCCCGACACTACAGAAACCTCCCTGAAATTCGGGCGGGGCTGAGGGCTTAGCTTGCAGAGGACCTCAAAACCCTAAACCCGAAACCGAAAACCCTAAACCCTAAACCTTAACCCTAAATCCTAAACCCTAATTAGGATGGATCTGAGTGCAAGAGGGGGTGGGGCCCTGAAGGCCAGAAAAAAACATTCTTTTAGCCCGACCACAACAACCCTAGCAGTTTCAACTGAGACCTTGTTTAGGGCTTAGGGTTTAGGGTTCAGGGTTCAGGGTTCAGGGTTTAGGGATTAGGGTTTAGGGTTTAGGTTTAGGGTTTAGGGTTTAGGATTTAGGGTTTAGGGTTTAGGGTTTAGGGTTTAGGGTTTAGGGTTTAGGGTTTAGGGTTCAGGGCCAACCCTCGCCCCGGCCCTCTTGGCCCTCACAGCAAGGCCGCCTCTCTGCAGCTCGGAAGCCGGCAGGGACGTCCACGGAACATCGTTGCGCATGGTCGCTCTAGGGTTTAGGGTTTAGGGTTTAGGGTTTAGGGTTTAGGGTTTAGGGTTTAGGGTTTAGGGTTTAGGGTTTAGGGTTTAGGGTTTGGGGTCTAGGGTCTAGGGTCTAGGGTTTAGGGTTTGGGCTTGGAGGCTAAGGGTACTTATCACCCAATTATATCCGCACTTATAAGCCCTGAGTCCTCTAAGTAGGCTAGAAATAGACGTATAATTGGGGGTATAAGTACCCTAAACCAGAAAACAACAAACCCTGACCCTAATTGAGGGTAAAAGGCACCCATGAACCTCCAAGCACAGCCTCTGGCTCTTGCGCGGCTTTGGCAGTTGAGGACATGAGCCAAGGCCCTTAACCCTACAGCTTAAGCCCGAAAGCTCAAACCCTTAACCCTAA